ATGTAAATCTAAAACTATCTTTTTAATTCTCACACTTGCATGCTTTACCTCTCTTCTTGTTGTCACTATTCATCTTAATTAGCATTGTTCTACTTTCTATATAATTCAACTTTCAACGCTTTGTACAGTAATTAACTGAAGATGACAGAAGTTTCTGTCGAAAAATGTCTTACAAACTCAAAAGTATTGTCGCTTTCTTTAAATTATATACCAAGCTTTCATTCAATCTCACTTTGACTAACGAACCTGTGGGGTAACTTTACAAGACAAGCTACAAAAATTGCAGAATAGAGCAGCTTGCGTTCTGACATTTTCAAATTATGACACTGACGCTGGCCATTCGTTGGAAATTTTTGGGTGGAAAAATCTTGACCGTCAGCGCAACATACAAAAGGCCACCCGGGTTTTCGAATGCCTACATGGGTTAGCTCCGGACTATTTAACTTCCAAATTCTCTGCACAAATACAAGCAACAACCTGAGGGACTCCGAGAACAAACTTAATGTTCGAATACTACGCACAAACTATTTCAAAAATAGTTTTAGTTAAAATGGCGCCACATTGTGGAATAGCCTTTCTGGCGAGGCAAGGTGCGCGGAATCCCTCTTGGGGTCGTTAAAAGAGAAATCAGCAAAGCTCTCTAAGGTACGGCATTCATCAAAAGCAGCAATATAATGTTATTAACATAAATTAAAACTTAATGGTTTTTAATCTTTTGTAAATACCTGATGAATTGCCTGTGATTAAACAAAGTATTTTGAAAAAGAAAAAAATGCACATGTAAAGTTTTGCCAATCCTTACTTACATAATTTTATTATGAAACTGTGATGGTGAGTCGAGTGAAAAACGAAATAGCCATTGCAAAGCTAGGAGTTCAAAAGAAAGAAAAAAACCTTGCCCAAATATTATTTTATTCTACATTCGTAATACGACTTACATGTGGTTGGTCCCCTGCGATTTTCAAATTAATAAATCTCATTTCCTCCTTATCATACCCTTACGACACATTTCTATGGAGCTTCGCACATATCCATCCATTTTCATGCATTGTTTTGGTTGACAAATTGTTTGGTCGATCGTCAAGTTTTATTTTTCAATTGAGGCGCAGCTCTATTACTTTCAAATTTGATTTGTCATCGAATTGTAGGAAAAAATCTCTTTTCACTTGGTCTGTTATTCTGTCAACATCTCAGTCCATCAATAACATGTGGTCAAAATGAAAGGGTTGCCTACCTCCGTAAGAAAATAATAAACAATGTTTTCTCAGTATACAAGCTTTTATTGTTAAATGTGGGAATAAGAGTATCTGGTGAAAGATCGTTCTCTACTGCCCGAAGATTAAAAACCGTATTTCCGCGCTTATTTGAAATTTCGTCTCAAAGGAAAGGCGCTTTTTGGAAGCAGGGCGATTAATCGAGGGGGGCCACTGTAGTTAAAGGCTAAAAGGTTACTAATAAACTGGTAATAGAAACAGGTTTCCCTTGTATCTCTAGTACTTAAGAAAGTTAGGAAGGAGGGGTGGGGGGGGGGCACTTATTCGAGAAGGGTGCTTATTTCACATAACGACCCAGGGGGTGGGCGCCCGTCGGGGGAGGGCGCTAATAAGAGCGTGGGCGCTAATTAGAGAAAATATGCTACTTGGTTTCCCTCAATTATAACGCAACATCAATTTAGCAACCAGAAAATAATGAATATAAACAGTCATTGAGAAATAACTCACGGACCTTCTCGTCTTGACATTGCGAAAAACATATTCTGATCGTGACAGTAAGAACAGAAATTACGGAATCTTTCACGAATATGGCATGCAGTAAATATCGCCCAGTTCCTCAGTTTTATTTCTTAGACAAGCTCTACGGGATGTTTTGTCAATTTGTAATTGGTCTAATACACCATTCAAGTGCCGTCGACCAGATCAAAGTATTCTCTTCATTTCAGTAGAAATACACGATTTACTTCCTTCACTGTATGTTTTTTCTCCTTCTCGTTTCATGGAATACATTTCAGTCATGATTCTTAAAACCGTTTTTTGGTACATAACAATTAAAAAATAAAAATAGCGGATTTTGGAGGTAACAAAAGTATCCCACGACACCCTTACCGTCTAGTTTGTTACTTAATGCAGTTGACTGAGGCTTTTCTGATAGCAAACCATTCTGAGGATAGAAGCCGGGAAGGAAGGAATGACAGGAAATTGCAAATCTTAAGATACTATTAGGAGATAAATGAGGCGCAGAGGCCTCATGGCTAGTTGCAGGGGGGAAGGGTGGGCAACTTTCCATGGACCACCGTTCCACGTTCCCGTAATCCTCTCCTACTCGATCGATTGGAGCATGTGAATTCAATTCGCAGTTACACAAACGGAGCAGGCCTAAAGCAGCCCGTCAAAACAGTGCACATGCCACCTAAGGAACAATTCCAGCTTCTCAAATAAGAAAGATTTAATATAATTATGACTTAACCGTCACTCACGTGACAGTTTTGAGGGTAAAGCCAATACAATATACTGTGTTAAATTATTTTACATTTCAGAGTTATGGAAGTACTTGTCAAACAGTCTCCCTTCTTCCACCAAACTCAACTGACCTTTGAGAGCTCTGATGACTGAATGTCAACCACAATGCACTATTTACATTTATGTCAACTGGAATGTTTAGAAATTTTGGCATGCAGAAGCCTGTCCCGACGTATATTGAATGCCATGAAAATAAGAAAAATATTGACCCTAAATTATGAAATTGATATTCACATTGTTTTTTTTGCTTTTATTGAAGACTTCAAAGTATAGTTGAGGGTTTGCTCTTGGCCACATTCAAATATCTATGATTTTATGAAGAATTGTTGCATTGGGGCCTTCTTATATTAGTATCATATTATATGAAAAGAGATGACAGTCAGCCTAATGAATTAACTGATTGCCGAGGCAGCTAATAACCAAGCCTAATAAACTAAAAAAATGAAAAAATACCTGTCTCTAACTCAACAACATGAAAACCAAATTTTGAAACTCAATGCTGTAAGTCAAAACTACAATCAACAATACTGGACATCGAAAAATAACCTTAAATCAAAATATATCCAAATCCAACAATCAATTTCAAGAACAAGACACTCAGACTCCAAAGAAAACTCCCACATGTTCTCAATAATGTTGTGGAAGGGAGCTCCCACGTTAGTGAAGGTATCAATTAACCTTAGCTAAGTGATTCTAAAAATACATTTGCTTATCTTTCATCCAACCGTTGATTGTTTGTACTTTTGATCACAACACTGAAGTCTTTTACCATTGGTCAGAAACCTACCAGACCAACCTATCATCTTGAAATGTGCTTTGTTTAATCAGGTTTCCTAAACTTGTTTTCAAATTTTGTTCAAAACAATGGATACAACTTAGGTATTGACTTCTCTAACTGAACAGATCTGAAGAAATTCTATCAATAGATGGACTGCTCTGGCCAATGGCAAGTTTCCTTAGTTTCAGGCAGTCTACTGAGCCAGTCCTGGTCAGTTACGTTTACAGGCAGGACTCAGGCTCTTCCTCATCACCTGAGTCAGTAACTGACTTTTCTTCCGATCCATGCAATTTGCTCCAACGATGTCTCCAGTACTCATCTGTTGGCCATTCTTCTTCAGGTTTCACATTCCCTTTGCGATCCTGTGATAAATCACAAACCAACACTCAACATTATCTTGTCAAATAACATAAACCTGAACTCCAACTTGTTTGCCTTGGTTACTTTTTATACGAAGAGAAATTATGCCATGAGTATGTTTGACTGAGTCAATTTAAAACAACTTTTATATTAAGGAACATTCCTTGTAAGCAAACATCACAAGGCTCACCAAAATTTAGATATATTCCAATTACATCCATGGTGGGGCCCATACTGATTATTTTATTAGAGAAATAAGTAAAAGTGTTCAAAAAATATACATAACATCAAAGTGACCACCTCTCCTGGAGTCTTATAGGTACTTGACCTGACAAGCCCCTGCAGAGAATACAACTACAGGTAACCTTTTAAGGAAAAGGCTCAGTAGTTCATGTGAGAATGAGGAACTGCTGATGTCTCCTTTTTAAAGGTTATGAATATTTACTTAGTGGCTCATCCACAGCTAGTACTCATTTTCAAACTTAGGAAACTGCAAAGGTGGACATCATTTGTGGTGATTATACATGGGACCAGGGAGAGTAAGATTTCAGGGGGAGGTACAGGTTTCGTTCGATTCTCGTATTCCGTGTACGTGACACGTTTTCGTTTCGCCTTATTTTAGACATTTATGCCTTGTTTTAGATGGTTTTAGATAGTTTGCGAGTGGTTGTAGATGTTTTTGAGGTGGTTGTAGGTGGTTGTTGAAATTTTTGAGGTGGTTGTAGGTGGTTTTAGGGGGTTTTAGGCGGTTTTAGATCGTTCCTTGTTTTAGTACTTACCAAAAATTACTTGCTTTGCTTCCAAGTTTAACAGATTAAATGGTAGCGACAAAGAGTGACTGTTCACGTTCTCATGCATGTAAGCCTTTTCAGTAATTCGGAATGTAAAACTTTTTAATTGAAATCGTTAAAATCATTGAAAAGCCACAATATTTGCTTCGCTTTGGATTTCCTCTCTTACGAACCATTTGCGAGTCGGCTTGTTGCGACAAAATACAAAAGAATGTTATGAAAGCATGATTAAAACGGAACGAAATTGAGCTGCGAATTACCCTTTGGCCAGCAATGCGGATAATGGACTGGGCTTTTTCTTTTTTTTCTTTTTTTTGGGACTGGGGATTCTTAAGGAATCTAAAGAAGATGCTCCATTTCAGTTCAACTTTGACTGTTGCCCGCACACGTGTTTTTCGGAAATGCACAAGTGTCTCTTGTGGCTTGGAGATAGCTACATCGCAATTGCTCCGCGAACCAAGGGCGTAAAAATTCTTCAAACAACACCACAGGAAATTGAACAGAATCTATAAGAATTATGACTACATTTGTGCAAACTAAGATCACAAAACTTACGTGGTATTTTGTGTCCAACCAGATGTTACTCTGACGTACAGCTGCACTCAATTCATTCACTTGTTGCTTTGTCATTTTAACATCAGAAAAGAACAGCTGTTCCAGGTGAGGAACACGGCTGAGATGTTGTGTAAGAACACTTACTCCTTCACCAAGAGGGTTTCCTGACAAGTGGAGACTGTGCAGGCTAGGAGCCTGGTGCAGAGATCTGGCGATGACTGCGGCAGGTTTGGCTGTTAAATTGATATTAGTAAGTACTAATGTGTCAAGTCTGTCAGTGAAGATGATACGAGACACCAGGGTCTCTGTCAACTGAGCATCAATAATTTCAGAGGGTTTACCGTGAATAACTATCCATCGCAGAGCAGTGAAAAGTGGTAAGAAATCAGCCAGCATCTTTATCTCTTGCCTTTCTATGTGGAAAATATAAATCTGCTTCACACAGGAAAGGCTCTGAGGAGTAGGACCAGTGATGCTATCAGTGTTCTGATTCAAACTCGAAGCTGTTTCGCTGTCGTGTTCATTCAACGGATCAATAAGACGCGTCACCTGAGTAGACTCTGCTGTTGGCGAAATGAGCTCTCGCAGCATTTCAGTCGGAAAAAAGTCACCAAATTCTTTCGATATTCGTTTAACATAAACGACGATTTTTCTCTCTCTCTTCAAAAAGAAATCGCCTAAAGGACGACGCGGGAACTTCTTCAGTAAATCTGCGGCTTTCTTTTCGCCCGAACAGCTCAAAAATATTGCATTTGTGTCCTCTGCTACAGTGATCAAGTCTCGATAGCTTTTCTCTGAAGAATCTTCGAGGACAGGAAAAAAGATAAGGTCGGGTATCATGCCAGATTTCAGCAAATGTTCATTTGCAGTAATGTTCACCTTGTTAGAATCAAGATACAAAAAAACATCTCCGGTGAAAGAGGGAAATACTGAGTGGAGATCTCGCCTCTTCTCGGCCGAACAACAAACGTAGCTATGCGAGATAAGCTCAAGATAAAGATCTTCATATCGAGACAGTTCTTCACCCTCCAGAAGCAGCTCAATGAAATCACATTCCGACACAGATTCCTTTCTTCCAACAGACCCCACATGATGGAAAACTGCGCACGCGGCTTCTGTTGACAGCTCACATGCAAATTTGAGAACTTCATCCATCTTCCCGATCTTTTCAAATGATTCAAGTTTGGAGAGGCTAGGCGTACTTTCTCCTTTAATCGACAACACTTCCTCTTTAATGTGCCAGGCTGCAAGGAACTCCTGTACGGATTTATGAATGAAATAGGCTCCTTTCTCAGGATTGAGACTCGTAAGATTGACAATCTGGAAAAGCCCAACTTCACTTAATTTTTGAAAACTTGTTGAAACATTGCCGGGGAGTTTGCTGCAGCGTACGTAAAGACGGTCTTGCAGAAGTGCTTCAAAGGCAACCTTTCCAAGATTACTCAGGTCTTCTCTGGCTTCTGTGGAGGTCACTTTCTGAAATGGCATAGGCTGGTGACTTTCACCTTTGTGATCCAGCATGGTTTGAATGAATTGTGTGAATGTGTCGGCTCGTGATTTTGGCAGTCCTTCTTGATGTTTCTCTTTCCACAAAATACACAGCATCAGTAGGAGGAGAGGTATTTCTGCCATGTCAACGAGATCTTTTTCTTCCAGGTAGGACATGAACTCGTCAAGATCTTGTTCACCTGCCAAAAATTTTCTCGCAAAGGTCCTTTTTCGTTTCCAGCTTTTGAAACCTTGAATTTCTAACTGAACGTGGCTAAGGCCTATTAACTCGTCACATTTAAGTTGTCGCGTGGTGACAATAACGTGACAATCTCTTAGTTGCTCACCCTTCCAAATTTCAAGGATGGGTGAGTGTTCTTTTGCACAGCTGTACTCATCGTAGCCATCCAAAATCAGAAGCACTTTATCTTGATTGTTAATTATGTAATCATAGAGACTATCAACTGAGATCGGACCATCACTGGCCAGCAATTTAGACGCAAGTAAAACATTGCGGACATTTCCCACGTCACACACATCTCTGAACTTAATCAGAAGCAAAATGCTAAAGTTCATAAGGATATCTTTTAAGGCTTTCGACCAGTCATATGCAGCCTTCTTACAAAAAGTACTCTTGCCAGTAGTATAGCGCGTCTGACTAGCAATTCCCGCGCGGCCTGGGTCCGAGTTTGAGCAATAATTTATTCATGCCATGTAGGTACACGTGATAGGGTTATTAGATAATTATATTCATGACGTGTAGGTACACGAGAGTAAAAATAGATTATTAATGAGCGAGTGTCCATGTCGGCCATCTTTGTTATTAAAGATAAGGGTCGGTTTGATTTATATATGGAACGGTAGCGTAAAAATCATCCATGTGGGATACCTATTTGTGTGATGCGCATGTGCAATCTTCTGATTAAAATTGTACGCATGCGCAATGCTTTAGAGCCAGTCCCTATGTGGTATGAATGTCACGAAATGTCCTATGGCTGGTACTTATGTGGTGTAAGACGTCACAAAATGTTGCGTGTGACGTCATCTGCTCAGACTTGCCCACCCAAGCTAAATCTCAAGAGAGATGTTGTCTAAACTTGTCTAGGACTTGCTCAAGAGTTGTCTAGTATTGTTTAAGGCTGTCCGAATCTCTAGGGGTTAGGATTTGTTATTTAAAGTGAAGTCGTAAGTAGAAGGAGTCATAAACATGCCTGTTTTTCAATATCCCTACGATTTTACGTGTACATGCAAAACATGTAAATCGTGTATCAAATATAAAGAAATTATGGAAGAAGCGGCATGGAATGTCAAGATTAGGAACATAAGAAAAGCGTATGTAGAGAAACGTGTGGAAGAGATTACAAAAAGATTACGAAATTTAAGTCTAAAAGATTCAGCCCAAACTTGCCCAATCTCCCAAGAGGGACCTGTCAATCAAGATCATATATTTTCCTTATAAAAGTGGAGTCGTTGTAGCAGGCAAATCACATTTCTTACTCCCAGAGTGTAAAGCAAGCATCAAGAAAGCAAGATGGAAGATAACAAGACTAAGAAGACATCAAAGAGGGTTCACCCTTATGCCAAGAAAGGGACTTTGAAGAATAAGAAAGAATGGGCTAAGAAAAAGTTGAAAGGTAGTCTCGTTATAGATGCACTGCCTATGAAGAACCCAGACTTTGTTGCTAAAGATGTGAAACTACCCAAGTTCGAGGTGGATTATATGAAACCAGAAGTCAAGTCATCTAAGCAAACATCTCCTCTGAAAGAGTTGAACCAGCTGGTGAAAAGTGTTCAGAATGACCCATCAACCCTGGAGAAGACTGAAGTATTGGAAGAAAGAGAAATCGTACCTGGCGTAGAAGGTACAGGTACGTTTCATTATTCTTCTCTGGAAGAATTGTTGGACAGTGTGGAAGTCAGTTATCCATGTCCCATCCACCAGACTATGATGGAGGAATTAAAATCTAAAAAAGAAGATTGTGACGATGTATTCCTCCGTTGCTCGTCCGCCCGTTGCCCAGTATTTTGTAATCTCAGTGATTACAACCGTTATTACTATGAATGTCAAAGACAGGGTCACCCCTGGTTCACCCTGGACAGAATCGACAAGATGGTGTGCGAATGTGGAATGACTCCCACATTGTCTTTGACTCAATCAGAAACAAATTATGGCAAAATGTATTTGCGATGCAGTCGACATAACTGTGATCTTTTTACCTGGTGGCGATTTAAACCCAACAAGAGGTCAGTGCAAATTCTTACGGATGGATGTGAATGATTCATTTCAGGAATAGATGTCAAGATGACATTTGCTGATTTATTAGAAGCCCTTTTTCCTTTACTTCAAAGAAAGTAATAAGAGTCAAATGTATTAATTTTTTAGGCATAGTGTTCATTCAAACTTTTCTTTCACCAGATGTAAAAATACACATGTTTTTTAGTTATAATTCCAAGTTTTGTTAATTTTTTTTTGTAGATGGGATAAGTACAGACCATCTTGAAATCGCACGGTTGATGGGTAGAAACACAAAGCTAGATACATTGTCTATGGACGATCATGTTGAAATCGCTTGGTTGATCGGTATGCCTAAGTTTAGAAAATTAGCTAGACGCTTAGGATTGTCGGATAAAGACTTAGAATGTATTGCTTGTGATGTACAGTTTTTAGAAGATAATATGGAGAAATAAATAAAAGTTGTATCACCAAAAACACTGTGTCATTTGTCTGTGTCAATCATGAGGCGTGTAAGACGGTCACTGATTAAAAGAAGAAAACGCAATCAACGTGGGGGTGCTTCTGTGAGTAGGGTTAAGAAAATTCTTCGTAGAGGTCCCTCTCTTACCGATAAATTAGCTTACGCAGCAAGTATGTTGTTATCGGGTCCTGCACCAGGTTTTGGAACACTTGGTAAATTTCTGGGAAAACAGGCTTTAAAAGGCATTATGGATAATGTCAAGCATTATAAAAAGGGTCGGCGATGAAAAAAAATCACCAGTTCATCATGCTTACCTCGTGGAGTCAATGTCTATGCTACTTACATTATCGATTGGTGTCGTGGCTTTGTGATCGCATCCCACATATCGTCTTCGAAGAGGATGAGCCGCATAAAATCCCTTACCAATGGGTTCCCGAAGACATGGAAGTTGAGGTGTTTAAATTTGTCGTGAAACCACACCTACATCCACTACACGACCGTATCTTTCATTTGATGACGTTTATGAGATACTATGATGGGAAGTATACATATAAGACGTGGAATCAATTGTATACGCAGTACCTTCATAAGTATTGGGTCACCTACCATTGTTTCAAACTTTGGTGTCATTTATCATGGTTAAGAACATTAAGAAAGATGTCAAGGACGACTTGTATGACGAACCCGGTGTCGTCGGTAGTTTGGGTGGTGTGGCACCGTATGCCAAAGCTCAAAAGATCTCTATTGCTCAAGGTAAAAAAGAATTAGAGAAAAAATTGGCGTACACGCTTCACAAACCCAGACGTCGACGAGGAGAATTTTTACCTGTGGTGGTGTTCGACATTGATGAACAATGGGTAGCAGATTTGATCGAAGTACAGACCCTATCCAAACAGAACAAGGGATACCGATACGTATTGGTCGTGATCGATGCCTTTTCCAAATACGCGTGGGCCCGGCCGATTAAAAAGAAAACAGGAAAAGATGTGACGGATGCGTTTGCAAAAATACTCAAGGAAGCCAAAGGAAGGAAACCTCAGACGTTACAGACAGATGCAGGCAAAGAATTTTACAATCAGACCTTTCAATCATTGATGAAAACACAGGAGATTCATCACTTTTCTACTCATGGAGATGCCAAAGCCAGTATCGTCGAACGATTTAATAGAACCCTTAAATCGAAATTGTATCGCTATTTCACGGCTGCCAACACACTCAAATATGTAGACATATTGCCCAAACTTGTCAATCAATACAATCGCACCTATCACAGGAGTATTAAAACCACACCAGCTAAAGTCACCACAATCAATGCCACAGAAGTGTGGAACAATTTGTATGGGAAATATCAGACTAAGAAAGAAAAAAAGCCTGCATTTAAAGTAGGCGATAAAGTCCGATTGAATAAAAAATTTAGACCGTTTAAGAAAGGGTATCTACCAGGATGGACGGAAGAAGTGTTTCAAGTTCGTAAAGTCGTACCCGGAATGGTAACGACCTATAAAGTGCAAGAATTGGATGACACGCCCTTACAAGGCACATTTTATGTGTGGGATTTGCAAAAAGTACATGTAGATGAAGCGACTTATTTTCGAGTGGAAAAAGTATTAAAGAGACAAAAGGATAAATTGTTTGTCAAGTGGAAAGGGTACCCTAGCAAATATAACAGTTGGATTAATAAAAAAGATTTAAAGTGAACTGTGTGTTTGTGGTGATCGCATCATGAGAGGAGGAAGTTTGAGACGCTTTAAAGTGTATGTGCCAAATGAACAAGGAGGTGGTGGTCTCATGCGCTGGCAGACCCCCTCACCTTATGCCCCACCACCTTTTATCGGATCCTGGGGTGATCCTCAAATAGGTGCCGGAGTCAAAGACATGGCTAAAGATTTTTTGAAAGGTGTAACAGGAGGCCTTAAAAGCAGTGTCAAAAAGCGTTCGTTATCAGAAGTGCCGCGAGGTATAAAGAGAGGGGCTTCCCAAGCGCTCAAGAACGAATTGAAGAGAAAAGTTGCCAAGAGGTTGAACGATATTTTTGGAGAATAAAACATGGTCCGCATCAGCACCGTACGTCAAAGTGATCCTATCATTGATGTAGGCACAACATCACCGACAGATCCTGTGTCTTCCATCTTAAAAAAGGTATAAAGGGAGAAGAAGAAAAACAACAGCAAGGAGGAGGATTTCTCACAAGTCGTATAAAGAAAATAGGAACACGACAACGTGTGCATAAACGCAGAAGACGTTGAAACAGACACATCACCATGTCTATCAAAGGGGCAGAGCAGAATTCAAGTCTAGATCTCTTTAGAATACCACCTACAGATCTTTCTACGGTAAAGTACCGATATGTCAAAATACCACCTCAGACATCTAGTATTACTCCTATCCAAGTGTACGTGGAACGACAATCAGATCTCATCGATCTTTCGAGAAGTTTTGTCCAACTGGATTTGGGTTTCAAAACCACAGAAAATGCCAGTCTCACAGCACGCGCAAACAATGTGGGTGTGATGACTTCACCAGCCAACAATATTGCACACACCCTCTTCAAGCAAATCAATTTCAGAGCCAATGGTACCTTACTCACCGAACAAGTAGACATGTACCATCTTAAAGCTTTCATACAGACGATCCTTAATTATGACAGGAATGATGGAGAGACGATACTCGAACCAGCTGGATGGCGGAACGAAATTGATTCTCCTGTAACCTACACCGCTGCAAATGTCAAGATGGATGATGACGCGTATACAGCTCTTTCCATAAATCATCAAGAAAGCATCAAGAGACAGAGAGCAGATGCAACAGAATACTATGCAGGAGGAAAGAGGAGAATCTTGAGAATGAAACCGTTTATAGACGCGTTTCACCAAGGAAAATGGATCGTCCCCAAAACTCTTTTGGAATTGGAATTTTATCTGAATCCAGCAGCTTTATTCATGAATGGAGAAGCCAATCCACCCAGTGAGGAAGTCCGAGTCAACCCAGAGAATATTAAACTTACCTTCTTTCTATGTCTGGTGTCCCTAAACCCAGCCGTCTACATGAGCATGATGAGTATGATGACCAAAACCCCAACCAAGTATCCCATGATCCGTACCGAGATGAGACAGTTTCCCTTAGACAATGGGGCTACTTCTAAAGAAATCAACAACCCATTCAATGGAAAGGTCCCCCAAAGAGTCATCATTGGTATTCTGAAAACTACTGCATTCAATGGTCAATACAACGAAGACCCCTTGGCCTTTGGAAAATTTGGGGTGGAATACATCAAACAAATTGTGAATGGAGAAGAATACCCATACGAGACTTTGGAACTCAACACGGCTAATGGTCAAAAAGACTTGGTGGGTTATCACCGATTTCTGGATGCTACTGGCTGTCTGTACAGAAATGCAGGAAACATGGTACGATTCAAAGACTGGGGTCATGGAAAAAATTGCACGCTGTTTGCGTTTTCCAATGTGGCCAATGGAAGACACGATGACCCGGTTCTTCTACCCAAAAATGAAGGCTTCATCAACATTCACATTAAATGTGCAGGGCAAGCAAGTCAGAAAACGGTGATCGTTTATGCTGAATATGAAAGCATTATGGAAATTGATGGCATTAAAGGAGCTACCACGATGGAAGTGCATTAGTGATGGAGTTTGTGTGGCTTACTACGAATCAACTCAACGCTTTAGCGGATAGCGATCCAGAACTCCGCAAGTACTTTGTGAGTGCTTTAGCCTGTGACGAACTACCCGAGTCGCCTGAACGTGTGAAACCGAGAGCTTACATTGTCAATACACATCCTGCAGACAAACCTGGGGAACACTGGATAGCTGTGTGGACCGAACACGATAGCTGTGAAATTTTAGATAGTTATGGTTTAGATTTAACCACCTATGAATTTCTGACACCATTCATTGTATGGTTAAACCGATGGCCTTACGTGCGTAAAAATACTCGAGCATTACAATCTGTAAAAACCGCAAGTTGTGGAAACTATGCCATCATTTATTTAATGTGTAAAGCAAGACGCAAGAGTATGGATGAGTTTTTTTCCATGTTTTCTAAAAAAGGATTATGCAGGCAACGATGATAAAGTAGGCGACATGTTAGAAGACATCATTCAATCGTTAATAAACTAAAAGGAGTGAAATAAAATCGTGTCACTTTTGTGTAACTCGCTTTTAGCAATCATGTTCAAGTGTGTGGAACCAGGATTTTCGTTCAAATCCCCTTCCAATATTTTGATTGTGGGCCCTACAAGTTGTGGAAAAACCACCTTTCTCCATCACCTACTTTTGGAAAATTTAGACCTCTTTGACGAAAGACCGCCCCGCGTGCATTACTGTTATGGATCCTGGCAAAATAAGTTTGACGACATGCAACGCCATGGCATAGAATTTTTAAAGGAGTGCCTACCCACGACGATTTAACAACATGGTTTGAGATAAACGAGGGGTATTCTTGTCTTGGATGATCTCATGTCGGAGGGAGGAGATGACAGAGAAATACTTAATCTTTTCACACAATATTCTCACCACATGAATGTCACCGTGTGTTATCTCTGCCAAGACATGTTCCCTCAAGGAAAATATGCTAAGACCATCTCTAGGAATGCGCAATACATTATTGCCTTTAAAAATCCTAGAGATAAAGTGGCGTTGCGCACCTTACTGCTACAGATATACCCGACCAAGTGGCTACCTGTTATGGATATATATAATGCATGTACGGACAGACCCTATGGTTATTTGTTATTTGACGTACACCCTGCAAGTAGAGATTCTACGAGACTTTTAAGTCACTTGTTACGACACGAAGGTTGTGTACGCTGTTACAGAGAGAAATAAATAAGAAAGATGCCTGGTTATAAGCGCAGTATGCCCACAACCCGAAGGAGAAGAAGAGTGAAAAGAAGACTAACCAAAAGAGGACAAAAGGAGGTATCCTACCATTAGCGGCACTCATTCCAGCCCTCATTGCTGGAGGTAAAGCATTGGGTTTAAGTGCCCTTGGAGGAGCTGCATCGTTTGGGGCTAAAAAGGCCTAGAAGCTCTTACAAAGAAAAAGCGATGATTAATAGTTTCAAGAGAAATGTGGATTTTTAAAATCTATTTTACAAGAGAAAATAGAAAGCGTCGTATGGAAAAATTACTTCACGCTAGTAAAGATCAAATCAATGCCGTCAGTGAATTCACGTTGAACATGTTGAAGAAAAAGATACCTTTATCACCGCCCACCGTTGCCAAACTCAAGAAATATAGAGTAATGTTGAGAGAGTTGGGTAAACGGAGGAACTCTTTAAGAAAGCGGCGTCAATTACTTGTGAATCAAACAGGCGGTAGCTTTTGGAGTGGTATGAACGACGCGTTCTGTCAGTGTTTCAAGAGATCATGACTGTCACCGTGCAAGAGGGTATAAACGAAGTGGACACGGGTATAAAGTTTGATTTGCAATTCAACTACGACGACGACGACAGTGACTATAAGGATTCAACCGAGTGTAGACTCACAATAACTCAACTGTTTCGGTGGTTGCGTATGCGTGTGGTGGAACCCTTGTGGCGATTATGGAGACGTTCTTAATGGTGAAACCCGATGAGTTTCGAGCTTTGGTAGATTATTACAAGGGAAAAATTACTGAAAGTACTCTTCTGGACAAAGCCGCACGCGTGGCCGCTGAAGCAAAACTGTTATTAGAAGATACATCTACTCCTGCTGCTTTAAAAGAACCTGTGGTAAAAGAATTGTTAATGCAAGAACGCAAGCTTACTGACAAATTGAGACAGATTCCTATCGCCGGTGGTGTAGAACCTCCACCTCGAGACGATGATGGTAATCTCATGGAGGGGTTGCAAGAGGGATTGTTAAAAGAACTCATTAAATCCATAAATATGAGGGGACAAGCCGCCTTACCTCAGATGACACTCAAGAGGGAACCTGTCACACCTGTGGGGATCAAGAACGAACCCGTCACCCCTGCGAAACCGGGAACGTCCAAGATTCCTTTTCTCACAGCTCCATCCCAAAAGATACAAAAAACGAAACGAAAACTTCCTGTTCCCACACCGCAAAAGCATCGCACGGAATTGGAACGACTCAAAGAATTTGGTAACTGGGAACCTTGGGAAAAGAGAGGTTACGACCCGTATCAAGTGTTTGAAGATGACGAAACGCCAAAGTCGAAGAAAGGCAAAGGGAGGGGCAAGAACCGTCCAAGCTAAGGCTAAAAGGAAAACGACAGAGAGGAGGAAAATTTGATATTCAGAAATGGATTTCAAAGTTAGGTGTCGAGTTTCATCGGCCCGGATACCAGTATATGGGTCCAGGTACAAAATTAGCCAAGCGATTAAAACGTGGTGATCCAGGAATTAATCGTCTTGATAGATTAGCCAAACAGCACGATATTGATTACAGTAAAGCTAAATCACTCGCTGACAAACATATTGCAGATCGTAAGATGGTAGCCGGAATCGATAAGTTTCCAGGCAAGAAGAGTTTAACCGAGCAAATTGTGAAGCGAATCATGCAAGCTAAACTTAAAACAAAATTGTAACGCCTCTACAATGATGAAATAAAACTTGTGAAAATGCAACACAGTGTGTGTCTCCGGTTCATTTGTAGTTGTGTCGTTATCGAGAGCACATCATGTCAGGTGATACTTTTTACTTGACGTTACCCAGTAACGATGGGAGTCTGAAATATTTTCCAGACAACAAAAACAATTCTTGGAAAAATCGATTAGACAAACGCATCGATTTAGAAGGAGAGTGGGAAGTGGGATTGAGTAGTATTTCGCTTCCACACGATTCTAAGGTGTCCAGTTACCTCAAAGGATTAAAAGACGATGATGTCTTGCTAACCACAGGACGAGTTAAAGTAGCCACTGGGGATATACAACATAAAGTGACTTACAATGTCACGTATGGAGACATCAAACAACATCGTATCGAGACAGTTCACGATTTACTCAAATCCTTGTTTGATGAAGAACGTTTAAAATGTATTATGAATATGGGCTCGGCGTTTGGGAGTCATTTTTCTTCAGGACACAGTGCACAATTTGAAGTGATTGCGGATGAGGATAAAGAAACGATTACTGTAACAGCAGACAAGGTAAAATCGACTGATATAACTCATCAAGAAGTTCGTGACGGTCTCTATTTTGAGTTACCTCGAGACATGTGCGAGTTGTTTGGTTGGACGAAAAAAACAACAGTTCCTTATCGTCGTATTGTTAGTGGTCCTATTAAAGAGAATTGTAATGTATCACGACCGGCGCATAATCTCACAGTGACCAAACGTGGTACGGTGTGGAGTTATGATAGGAGGCTTACTACATCCAGTTTGGCGTATTACAGATATGAGATCCCATGGAAAGACCGATTTGCGGAGAAATATCATAGATTTCTCCTTAGCGATCTGATCTGGACCTTTATCAATACTAAGAGAAGTACCTACTTAAATTTACCTTACCCACGAACCTTGTATATGTATTCCTCGCTTTGTGCTCCAGTACGCGTGGGAGATCAGACGACTGATCTTATACGTCAAATACACTACCAACCAATCTTGGAAGGAAATTATTATTACGAACCCAAGCAGATTCATTACATCAAGTTACGTAAGAATCACATCGATGTGGTGGAAACACAGATGAGTGAGTCGGAAAATAATAATTTGGCTCAGTTTACAGACGGCGCTTCTATAGTCACATTGCATTTTAGAGGAGTGAGATAACATGTTTAACCAAAAAGAGGCAGCCAGAGGCTGTCTGTCTGAAGCCACCGCCGCCAAAAAACCGAAGCCCAGGAAAAAAGAAGAAGAGAAAGAAACGCAAACGGATCATACATGGGAAGATAAAAAAGAACTCCAATTAAAAGAACTGATACGTAACGTGGAGGAAAGAACTTATTTTTCAAAGAAATGGCTTGATAATATTGAACAACATAGAAAACGTTCAGTGTAGTGTTTTTTGTTAAGTTGTAGACACTAAAGATGCCGCGAGTGTATTCATGTCGATGCCGCAAATATAAATTATGCATGATTTCTCAAGAAAAACAAATCAAAGAAACATGAAGGGATTATTATGAAAAGTTACGAAAAGTAGTACGCCTCACCGAAATGGAAGTAGTCACCCAAAGGATTCAAGAATTAACCGTTTACTTTAAGAATTAACAAACACGTCATGAAAACTTTTTTAAAACTTTGTTTTATTTAAAAAATAATTTAAAAAATGTTCGCTTTGAGTGTCAATGTTTTTTTGTTTTGTTTTGTTTTGTTTTGTTTTTTATAAAAGCAACAAGTCCATGTTCTCCAAATCTTGTGCATCCAGTCGCGAATATCCGTAAGGATAAGACTTAAAACCGTGCGAATGATCTAAAACTCGCTTGTCAAACACGAGTTGATACGACTTGGTCTGAGTCTCAGTCTTGATTTTTTTCAAAGTGGGGTTTCTGACGAAGTGGGTCGGGTTGACTACCAGCGTTTTTCTTTGTTCATCTAACGGGTGAAGAACCTCATCCAAAATATTTTGGCGGATGATGTCGTAATTTAGCTGTTTGGCACCACGTACATTCAGCGAGAATCCCTTTACTTTGCACACCACTTTACCATTCTTTGTTTGATACCCATAGTTCTTCGCACCTGCGGAGATGAATTCTACAATAAAGTCGCCATTGTCAAGCTCGTTGGTCATGTCGCCGAGGTAGTCGCCAAGCTCGATTTCTGTCTGCCCCGGTTTCCATGTATATAAGACCGAGTCTGTATCGTAATATAAGACTCGGTCACCCAACTTCTCCAACGATTCGTACAATTTAAGGCGGGCCAAACAGGTGGTAAATGCTGCGATGAAAATATTAGTATTGCTCCCTTTGTAAGGATCTTCTTTATCGCGTTTGTACGATACTTCTATCACTTCGGAATTAAGAATACGGATGTCTGTTACGGTGAAGAGAGGGTCGTCAAGCAGATCTAGGAGTTCGTAGGGTTGCGTGCATTGTTTGGTCTTCGATTTATTGTTTTGTTGGCCAAATTTCCCCCAGAAGGAGTTAAGCATGAGTTTAGCCGTGGCTTTTCTTCCGGGGTTCTTGACGATCTTGGTAGGGTCGAGTCGGATACCTTCTTTTTCTTCATAGCAATGAATGTATTTTTCTTTTTGCGCATCAGTCCGCACCCAGTTTGGGTAGCCACCGCTCTCCTGCTTAATTTTTAACCAGGTGTCCACGTACGGTTGGAACAGACCCTTTCGACGCTGCGGGAAGTCCCATACTTCATGAATTCGGACGAGTCGGTATCCTTTTTCGATTGCTTTATGTATCTCTGGGGTACACCAGGTGCCTCGTAACATTCGTTCTTCATCACTGTGTGGGCAGTGATAGTCGCGTTCCAGCATGTGTTCTTTCTGTGTCTCAATTTCTACACACTTACGGCATAACGGGAAGGTCAGCTTGTAGGAGTTTCCAATTTTATGACGGTAAGGTAAGACTGGGTTATACAGGTCAGCGGGTGGGGTGATGTCCACAGTCATCAAGCCAAAGTAACTTCTAGGGTCTTGATTCTCTGGTTCCAAATAGATGTCCGGGTGGCCTACAGGGTACGTACCATACTTGTTTACGTAGGGGTACTCAGAGGTTACGTCGATGTAGCGGATTTCTTCTCTTTCTTCTTCATTTACTTTATGGTACAGGCAGGCGGCGCCCGTTCTACCACCGTAAAAACCTTCTCTTGGGTTCAAAGGAGGGACGATATCCAAATCTTTTAGAAATTCGGTAATGGCTGTTGTTTCTTTCTTCTCTTTCTCCCATTCGCACCCCCAGATTTCCACCACTCGATTCCCTTTACCGCGGAGTTTTTGGATTTTCTGACTGGTCTGTTGGCGTAAGGCTTTTACGGTCAACCCATTGGAACAGAACGGAATTTGTTTGCGATTGGTGTAACAGGTACGACAGCCATGATAGAGGCACCCGTGAAATTCGTAGACTGTGCGGGTCTGTGCATCGTAACCATCCACGAAGTACGAGGTAGGGCCAACAGGGATACGATACTCTCCTCCGTTACGTGCGTGCTGAATTCGACTTCCGGTATTGTATTCTTGCCACATCAACCATTCCAATGATGCTTTGGAGTGATTCATACGGGCACCTCGCCACCCCGATGAAGGTTCTATTGCTATGAGATCTAAGGGTAAATGTTTCCTCCTCCAATAACGGTTACACGCTGCGGCGATCGTAACGCATTTTTCCATAGGATTGAAACCGGCGATGCTTTTAAATTCTTGGATGAATTTGTGACATCCAGCTTTCAGTAACGCAACATCTGAGTGACAGTATGCAAGCAGTTCTTCTTTGAGATCGAATGGGTGTTGTTTGGCTGCTTCTTCTCTATACCACACTTCGAATTCTTCTTTTTTTCTTACTCGACATTCCTCCGGATCATAGTAAGAAACTTCAGGTAACGGACCCACATAACTTCGATTTTCTTGCGTATGAAACTTGTGTGGGAAGAAGCCTTTTTTCAACTCGGTGAGACCAAAGGTGTCGGTAAATGCGGACAGAGTCATGGGAAGAAAAGCCATGGAATCTTTAAATGTGATTTTACCAGCTTCCAGAGAAATCATCTTTGTGCCGTTAGGAATCATCACATCGAATTTTCTTCCTTCTATCACAAGCTGATGCTGTATGAAAATGGAATCATACCCTTTTAAATTATGGAATATGCAGATGACTTCACGCGGTTCTTTGTACTGATCTTCGGTAAGGTTCGTCAAGAATTCCAGAAACTGTTTACTGCAATCGTCGCCATAAAACGTGTAGGAGGTGTTGTTTTCGGAAGTTTGAGCGCAGACGCAAATGGGTAGGTGTGTTCCGTCTTCGCTGATCATGGCTTCATAGTCCGCGTAGACGAAGATGGATGGTTCTTCGTACACGGATGCCTCGGGGTTTATTTTTAAATGCTTCTTGATTTTGGCTTTCGTTTTCCGTTTGGGTGAATCTTCTTGTTCAGGGATGGGTTGAATGTAGCATTTGTGTTCTCTAAGGTCCACGTACTCCTTACAGTTAGAGCATTTTCCAAAGTAACAACGGTGTAGCTGTTGGGGGTCTGGCTGAAATTGTTTGCAACAGTTACCGCATCGTACTAGGGTCATGCAGATGTTTTTTCCGCGGTGTAAGGCGAGGCAGTTCTGACTGTAAAAATGGCGGTTGCAGGCTGAGCAGTGGAGAGTGGGTTCGTGAGGTTTTGTACCACATTCGGTCTGCTTGCATGCTTTACAGCGACGGCCCTCGCATGGGTGGTTGCGGAAGTCGTCATGGTCAAAGCCTTTGTTGCACGTGTCACAAAAATACGATCTTTCCAGGAATCCGAGGTAAGACGTACATCCATGGTAATGACCCACATCGCTTTCGTACTCTGGTTGATACAGGAGGCGGATGATGTACTTTGGCGATTCCACGTTTCCTTGAAACGTAATGCAATATGGATAGCATGTGGTCATCACTTTCAACTGGTAGTCGGGCGCCATGCCAGGTACTGTTGAAACTTTTCTAATTCGGCACGCCCACAAGGGCCTTCGGGCACACCAGCTTGCTTGTGAAGGAATTTGGCGCATCGGGTGAGCACATTCGGATTATTTCCAAGATTCTTATAGTAACGCTTTCCCTCTACACCATCGTCTTTATGCAAGTGGGCTTTTGTTAGACAAATGGCTCTTGCAAGGCAAAGGTTGTCTTCTGAATTTTTAATCGGTAATACACATTGTTTGTTGTGGAGAACATCTTCAATATTATGTCTTCCCTTTGTTAATTTGGATTTACCACCTTCCTTTGATTTTGGCACGATGGTGAGGTCGACGGCGAACTTATCCTCAGGGCTAAAAGATTCATTCGAGTTAAGTTGATTGGCCAGTTGGTTCATATATGCACCAAATCGCTCTTCGCCATTTCCATTCATGATTTCACCGACAGTAAAGCGTTGTGTTTGTACGTGGTGGTCAAATTTCTCGGCTTTAAAGTTTAAAAACACTTCATCTGTATCTTTCAATGTTTTGTTTTGCCACTGATCGGTAACTTTTTTGCGATGGAGTGTTTCTTTCATCGATCTGAGAAATAAAAAAGGTCTTTAGGGATCTAGCAGTTTTTTCTCTTTCATTTTTGATTTCTAAGACAAGTTTTGATATTGCTAGGTCAGCTTCTCCGTATATCGAAGACGCATGATGATTTTTATCTATGTCTGTTTCATAGTGCTCGTAGCAATTACTTAACGACAGAAACTAAATCATGATCATCTTACCTGACTAAAGCCTCCGTGACTTCTTTTCCCACATTATCGTTCTTTGTTGGGTTACGCCTCTGTTTTAATGTGGCGCGATATCTTTGTTGATTCGCCGCTGATTTCTTCCACCGCTTGGGGAGACCAAATTTTTGAAAATCAAATTCAAACAAGGGCATACCACCACCAATTTGCTCAGGGTGTTCATCCAAACCAATGTCGAGGGCATCTAATTGTTGTTGATCCAATTCACGACCAAATTGAACCATTTGCGAGTCTGTCACATCGTTGCCATATTGATTTTCAAAGACTTCTCCAATTTCGTTTAATAAGTCATCCGAAATACCATCATCCCCATATTCCACTTCGTCAAACTTTCGTTTCGCCATCGCTCGATCCCTCAATTCAATCTACAACTTTACACTTTACTACTCCTTCCTCTACATCTGCAGCCTTTGAGATGATGGCGCAAGCTTTGTAGTAGTTTTTTATGAAATTTGAATTTTAAATTTTTCAGGCTGTATACAACGACTCTGATTGGCGACGATTTCCTTAGGGGATTGGGCAGCCTCAGGTAGCTTCAAATTTGTTTAATTGATCTCCCTAAGGGGCTCTGTTTTATTTGAAAACGTAGTTGAAACGCTTTCCACTTTTCAACTTGCGTTTAAAGCAGAAGCGTCAACTGTTGGTTCAAGGTTTTGACTACGATTTTACTACTTTATCAGTAAGAAGAAGTTTTGACGTGTGTGTGATCTTCTACGTGAACTACAAGTGTGACACAAGGTAAGTTTGTGATTGCGATTCGTTTTTTATATGCTAGATTTGCTTTTTAACATTTTACTTCGCTTTTCTCTTTTAGATGCCTCCTGTTAGAAGATCACGACGATTAAGACGTCAGGATGTCGAAGAAGACGGAGCGCCCTACGATTGCTTCATCTGTTTGACTCCAATTACTGTAAACATGTATAATGCTACAGCGACACCATGCTGTACAAGACGAGTTCACCGTGAATGTTACCAGCAACATGTCCATACATCGGCTGCATGTGGACACTGCCGACGACCATTTGCTGCCCAAGCCGCCATCGATCCAATAAGAAATCCACCGATAAACGAGGATTTGGCAAGGAGAGAAGCACAAAGACAACAGGCCATCCAAGATTTGGAAGCATTGCTTCAACCTGGAGCGCTCGAAGCCAGGATTCAACAGGTATGTGTGTTTTTTTATTTTACGAATCGTTGTTTGCGTGAACATTTCAAAAAAAAAATTTTTTTAAAAACTAAGACAACCTTTTTTCTATTCATCTTTAGATGCATGACGTATTTGAAGCATCGTATTTTATCGTCGATCATGAGTTTATGAGCAATTATTTACTTCGTCTGATCACCGATATGCGGAATATTCTTACTAGACTGGATGTGGAACATGATTTGATTCGAATTGAAATTTATAAACCTCCAGATTTTAACACGTATTTTGAACGCTATATCGATGAAATCGTTCCAGCTCGTATACGCAGATTGTTTTTGACTCAACACTTTCCTTTCGCTGAGTTTTTAGTAGCTTTTTTTCATCACATTAGAAGAGTACTATACCAATTTTTTAGGTTTCAATTGCGTTTCCCAGCGCATTCAAATCGTGATTCTATTCGTCATTGCCACTATATGTTTCGTGAACGTTTTAGATAATATTTTTTTTTTTTTTTTTTGCTCTTTAAATTTTATTGACATGTAGGAGAGTCTGAATTTTATATGAGAGCTCATTTTTCTTTTTATTACGACATTTTACACAATAGTAATTCAATTAGACTTTTTTTAATGATTTCAGATTCCTCCACATGATTACCTGTCCACTTTATGTTTGCTCTATGTGACTGATCAAGAAACAAATTTCATTCGAAATTCTTTAAGAGCTCTTTTTCAAGCTCTAAGAATTATAATAAATAGACTGGAATATTATGTGATTCATGTACAATTTTGTATGGAATTTCAAAATAGTTTTTTTCAAGCGCATCACTTATTTCCCGATACATTTTATTATCAATTACTTTTTGATGTTCTTTTAGAAAATACTGTAATAAGTGATATGTTAGGAATACATGCGGGTATCTACGAAACAAGAAGATTAAACCGATCTTATTGTCATAGCAATTTATTTATGCGAGTACGTTTATTTTCTATTTTATAGATACCTCAAGAATCAATCTGTAGACTTTTAGTTAGATTTCCGATTATAAAGACTACCACATACTATTTAATTCGTTCTTTACGAAGACATTTTCAACGACCTCTTCCCAGATGTTATTTTTCAATACAAGCATGTTTTATGAGAAATTTTTACCTCAGGTTACAATTAGTTGCTGAAGAACGACACGGTTTTTATACGCCAAGACAATTATGGAATCATTATTTACATTTGTATATCTTACCTAATTCCGTGTTACCGTTTGTTGAAATAATACCTGGTAGTAATCGCGTACCCATGGAATTACTGCAAAATTACTTTTATGGTCAACTTTTTCATATTCGTTTATATGGGGTTTCTCTTTCGTAGATACATCAAAACTATGTGGATACAGATGCCCTCTATTTGTTTTTTAGAAATTCAAAATTTGAATTATCAGTCATGGAAAACTTTAATTTAGCTGTTTATTTTCAAGATGTTGATTTTTTAAATTGTGTTCTTTCACTGTATAACATAAACCAATTCATACATTGTTTTTATGATATCCAAGAAAGAGAGCTCCATAGGTATGAGTGGTTGGCTACGACGTGGTCAAGTAATGACTATGAAATTAAATTTTTTACATTTTTAGAATGAACTCCCTTTGGATGATTTCCCTCTGGAGGATCTCGACGAGTTTTTTTTCACACTATGGTGTCTTTTAGATATGGAAGATGATGAAATTGTTGTACTTTTTAACCAATTTCACTTTTTTATGGTTGTGAATCAGATTTGTAATGTCACACCAGTCATAAGTTGGGGTTTTGTAGATTATGAGGAAGATGTAGCAGCACCCCTTATAGAAGATTATCTTTGGTTAACTACTAATTACAATTCAAACAATTATAATATTACACATTTTTATTCAACACCCGTAGCGTACTTTTTGTAATTAATAAACTTTTACATGGTTTTACATTTTGTCTCTCTATCTGTAATCTATTTCGTGGTAGGCAGAATGGAAACCATCTGCGACTTCTTTATCCCAGTTGGTATAGTAGATACATCTCTGGTTTCCATAGGGGTGGTAAATGTATCGTAAGGCATCGCGAAATACAATGTCATGATGTCTTTCCCTTAGTTTTAATTCCTGTATTTCCAGATCTTTTTCCTTACAAGAATGAACATGTTTCGATGCTTGCTGACGAATCTTGCGTTTTAGATTGGAAATTTTCTTTTGAGCCTTGGATCCTCCCATCCCGGAATTGGATGTAACAACACACTTGCGCGGCCTTTTTTCTTGCTCTGGTCAATATCGAAGTTGTACTCGAGATGGAGAGCAGAGATAACTACGATAGATAATTTCTCTAGGACTCTCGAGAGCTCTGTCACAATCCATGGTAATGGAGACTGGCTGAATCTCTAATAATACCTCGGTTTTTATGGCGTAAGCGATACCATTTTAAAGAGTGTTCAAATTCTGTCATAGCCTTGATGTCAGTAACCAACCAAGTAATACATTGGATGTAAGATGATCCACCCACGTGAAACGCGTTGTAAGCAGACACATGTTTTGCATGTACACGTAAAATCGTAGGGATATTGAAAAATAGGCATGTTTATGACTCCTTCTACTTACAACGACGTCACTTTAAATAATAAATCCTAACCCCTAGAGATTCGGACAGCCTTAAGCAATACTAGACAACTCTTGAGCAAGTCCTAGACAAGTTTAGGCAACATCTCTCTTGAGATTTAGCTTGGGTGGGCAAGTCTGGGCAGATGACGTCACACGCAACATTTTGTGACGTCTTACACCACATAAGTACTAGCCATAGGACATTTCGTGACATTCATACCACATAGGGACTGGCTCTAAAGCATTGCGCATGCGTACATTTTTAATCAGAAGATTGCGCATGCGCATCACACAAATAGGTATCCCACATGGATGATTTTTACGCTACCGTTCCATATATATATCAAACCGACCCTTATCTTTAATAACAAAGATGGCCGACATGGACACTCGCACATTAATTAATCAATTTTTACCTTCGTGTACCTACACGTCATGAATATAATTATCTAATAACCCTAACACGTGTACCTACATGGCATGAATATATTATTACTCAAACTCGGACCCAGGCCGCGCGGGAATTGCTAGTCAGACGCGCTATACTACTCTTGCCAATTCCTGGCCGACCATAAACAAGCATTCGCATTGGTTTGCGATCATATTCATCTTCCTTGAACATGTCGGTGTAGTCTTCAAGTTCCTCTTGTGTCACTCCGCTGGGCTTCCTGTGATCTCTGACCCAAGACAAAGGTGTGTAGATCTCATCAATCTGAATGGAAGAGCTGTCGTCCCATGGAGTGATTTTCACCTTGCTAAAGGTGTTGTAATAAGACTTGTTGTAATAAGACTTAAGCTGCTCTTGACACTTCTCAACATTCAACGGTTCTGAGAAAAATTAAAAAAAAGGAATTTAACTTTTATTGAAGGAATAACTATGCACACGATTCCAAGTTTCTAACATCACACGAACTCAAGTACACCTTTCTTTGCATGAAAGGATTCAGAAAATAACCCCTGCCACCGCCCCTTTCCCCTTCCCCCGGCAAAAAACCCGCCCACACTCTGTTCCTTTATTTTTCCCTTTGTCGGTAGCTCTTTTGAAATTGGAGGGAAGATTAAATTTCCAGCATTTATTTTATTATGGATCAATAACGTTGGGAAAGGAAGCGGCCAAAGTAAAAACAAAAAACTTCATGAATTTTTATTTCGTAAAATTTTGCGCAGCACTTTTTCTTGAACAAAAATGACAAATTGGTATAAGAAAAGGGAAAGGAAAGAAGTATGACTGTCTTGTCACGAGCGTGAGACAAAGGAAAAATTTTGAGTCCTCACCAGGAATAGAACCTAACACCTTCAGATTCTGCGATCGGACACTCTACCGCTATAAGTATAGTATAAGTTATTAAAACGAAAGCTTGGTATGAAATTTCTTCACTTGATAATTATAATACCTGCTAGCCTTCTTCGTTTATTTTCTGAAGGATCATCACTTTTACAACTCTCCTCTCCCGTCGAATTGTCTGCAAAAATAAAATATATTTATACTATTATGAGAATTAAAATACACTTCACTAAATTTGTGAAATGGGTAACAAGCAGGAGTCGAAACAAGTGCTGATTGAAGATGAAAATCTCGTGTGGGCCCGCACACGGAATTAAAGAGAAAAGGAAATTTATCTGACTTGAAGAATTGAAATTCATTGGAAGGGAATAAAAGCTAAGATTTAGATCTCATCAATGTTTTAAACTGGTCAGTAACAGTGAGGTATTTCTCAGAAAGGCAAATAAAGAAAATTTGGGGTCATCTTACTGCGCAAGAGTCTGGAGGGTAGTTGATAAGCGTGTTTAATCAACGATTTGTAATACCTATGATCAAAGACGAAAGATAAAATATTTAATTTAAGACTAATGAAATACAAAGACAACGCAGAACGTTATCCATGACCTCAAAATTGGAATTAGAACTACTTAAGTGAATTTTAACAGCAATGCGATTGAAAAACAAAGAATGCCTATGTTTATCAGTTTTTCTGATATATATTTAACTCCACTGTTGGTCTTCAAGTTCTCATAAGCTGCTCACGTTATTCTAAACGAACAGAGGATACAGTGACCAAAAAGCATGGTGTCTGTGAATTTAGGCACTGTACCTGTATGTAATTGTATTTTTATTGAATTGCAAGATAAGTGATATATTACCAGTGATAAGTTGCTCAGCTAAATCTGTGCGATTAACCAGTGGATGACACAGTGCATCATGTAGGATCGTGTATGTTGCAGTTGAGCCATTCCCCTCTTTCCAATGTAGTAACATTTTGTAGATTTTTTCAGAGCATCTCCTATTTTCATCATCAAACGCCGTTAATCTTGCTTCGTCAATTTCTAGACGACGCCCGACTGTCTTCCAATTTTCGAGTTTCTGCGAAAGCCACTCTAAATCTTCGTCGCTGGGAACTCCTTGCTTCACTAAAAACATAAAGACATCACAGCAAAGTATCAAGATGAGGGGATAGCGAGTAGTACGTATCGCAACTATTCATGCCATTTTGCTGGATCCACGCATTTTTATTTTACAAAAGCAGGGGGAAGGAAGATGAGGTTTGGGGGTGGGGGGTTAACGGGCACGCCCATAGATATGTCCTCATTTTACCTGCCAAACGAGCTTTTCTTTTCTTCGGAGTTGAGGCGTTACTCAGAGACGACTCTTCATCACGGCGTTTCACCTTCGGCCGACGAAAATGTTTGGTAGCACCACCTGCACAATAATAAATGTGAAAAAAAATTATTAGACCAGAACATATTATTTGAGCTAAGAGATTCACTGAAGCAATGGAGCTTTTTCCTTTCCTAATGAAACGTCTCCTAATGAATTTGTTTCAAGGCCAATTCGCGCCATTGCATTATGCATCCCTACTGTGCATCATGTTACACAAAAAATGCACGTCCACATACGCGAACAGAAATATATCTGTAACCTTACGCTTACGGTTAGCAGTTGTGTAGTGAGTGAATTTTGCGCTACCAGAAAACTACATGAAAATATACATACGCATCAAATGATCTTCCTTCGCTTTGATTTGGTTACCCACAAGTAAAGCGACACTTTTCCAGTTTCGAGGCACTGTCAACAACGTACATAAAAGATACAGTGGCCAAAAAGCATGGTGTCTGTGAATTTAGGCACTGTACTTGTATGTAATTGTATTTTTTTTGAATTGCAAGATTAGTGATGTTTTACCAGTAATAGATGGTGTGCAAGTTGGCTATGCTATAAAGGATATTAATGCAGGTCGAAATTCCAGCAGGGATATTGCAAAGATGGCCGAAATGAAGGCAAAAACAAACAGCTTGATAAATGTTCTCTTCCCTACATTAAAGGGAACATTACTCTTTGGGTCTTCCATTAGTGTGCATGGAGACTAAACTTCTTCCCAGCTCGAATTTGCCCCAACGAAACATAAAGTATTGACCAGGTTCATTCCATAATTTTGAAATATACAACGTTCATCATTTTCTCAGCAGTTTCCTTTGATGATAGCGCACTCAGCGAAGGGATCATGTGCTACGGAGACAACTCATGGCACTTTAACAAACAAGGTTTCAAGTATAAAACAACAAATTTGCTCCAACATAACTTGAAAGTTCATAAGGGTTAGCATCCATTTCTAACAGGAGTTTATTATAGGATTACTCTTACTAGTATTGAGAAATGTGAATCAAATGTTCAGTTAGCAATGATAATTTGGTTTCATTAACTGAGTTGATAACGTAAATTGGCCTATGTAGAGAGATTCTGAAACTGATGTTTCAAACGTTAGACCTTCGTTGGACCGATTAGGAAATGTGGGTTGGGTGTGGTTTATAAAATGGGGGTTGGGCTGGGGGGAAGGGAAGGGGGGTTAAGGCAGGAGTTTCTAGGTGTATTATTGGGGGGTCGGTGGTCTTCTTCCCAGAGGGAAAATGCTATCAAAAATTCAACGGTTCCAAGAAATGGTTAAGAAAAAAAACAGGAATTAACTTTTATTGAAAGAATAAATATGCACACGATGCCAAATTTGTAAAACCACACAAACTCAAGTTCAGTTTCCTTGGCATAAAAGGATTAAGGTAATTAACCCCTGCCGCCGCGCTCTCTTCCCTCCCCCTGCAAAAAACAAACCCACACTCTGTTCATTAAGTTTTACCTTTCTCGGTAGCTCTTCTTATATTGCAGGGAAAATTAAATTTCCAGCATTGATTTCATCATGCATCAATAATGTTGGGAAACGAAGCGGCCAAAGTAACAACAAAAAACTTCATGAATTTTAATTTCATAAAATTTTGCGGAGTACTGTTTCTTTAACAAGAATGACAAATTGGTAGAAGAAAAGGAAAGAAAAGAAGTTTGACTGTCCTGTCACGAGCGTGAGACAAAGGAACAATTTTGAGTCCTCACCAGGAATAGAACCTAACACCTCCAGATTCCGCGCTCGGACAGTCCACCACTTCAAGTATAGTATAAGTTATTAAAACGAAAGCTTACTATGAAAATTCTTCATTTGATAATTATAATACCTGCTAGCCTTGTACGTTTATTTTCTGAAGGATCATCACTTTTACAACTCTCCTCTTCAGCTGAAATGTCTGCAAAAGGGAAAGGAAAGTCAAGCTGTAATGAGCATTAAAACATGCCTTATTAAATTTGTGAAATGGGTAACAAGCAGGAGTCGAAATAAGTGCTGATTGAAGATCAAAATCTCGTCTCTAAAAGAGAGAAGAGAAAATTGATGGACTTCAAGAATTGAAATTCATTAGAACGCAATAAAAGCTAAGATTTAGATCTCAACAAAGTTTTAACCCGCTCAGTAGCAGTTAGGTATTTCGTAGAAAGGTAAACAAAGAAAATTTGGGTTCATCTTACTACGCACAAGAGTCTGGACACGAAAACAATAGTTATGAGGGCAGGGGGATAAACTCTCTCTAATCTGGAATTTTAGAACCTTATCCATGACTACAAAATTGGAATTAAAGCTACCAAAGTGAATTTGCTCATATCTCAGACTTTTTGAAAGTTCTTTTTCACAGCAATGCGATTGAAAGACAAAGAATGCTTATGTTTTTCAGTTTTCTGATATTTATTTAACTCCGCTGTTGCTCTCCATGTTCTCATCAGCAGATAACGATACTCTCTACAAAGGACAACAAGCAAGCTTATCAAGAAATGGTCTATTTTTCTGGCTCAACTTTTCCGTTAAGCATCAAATAAAAGCCCTTCCGTAATTGGTAGTCCTGAGGGACTTGGCCGAAGGGGGCGGAAAAGCTCGTAATTCATCGAGAAAATAATGGGAGTGACAATTTTTCTGCATAGGGGGAGTGGGTAGTGTAAATATGCACCAGTAAGATCAATCTCCATCGGCGCACCCAAGGGTATACTTGACCCTCGATAAGCGCATGGAGCCAAAGGTTCGTAAGTTTAAAACAATTAAAGTTATCCGTATTGCAGTGACTCATTTAAACCACCTCTCTCTATATGCAAGTCAAGTCGCCTTGTAAAAAGTCAACGCACAAAAATATTTTTTGGTCTTACTACTGATGATAAATGCAATCGAAAATGACGGTTTTCTGTAGAGAGCCTTGAGGCATTAAAGACCTTGTTTCTGGCGAACAGCTGTTTTCAAACAAGGCGCTCATTTTTTAGAACCAACATGTTTACTTAACTGAGGCGTTGAGAACATTTTTCAAATAGGAGGGGTGGGGGTTTTTAGCTACGTCAAATTTGAATTTAAGGGCCTATCGGCCAGAGTGTTTTATTATCATGAATTGTGGGATAGAGGGCTAAAATCTTCCAATGAACCCTTGAATGTCCCTGTCTAATTATAAAGAGGGTCGTAAAGGGGTATTGGCATGGCT